TGTTGTTTTTTCAGGAACTCAGATTACCTTATTTTAAAGCATCTTACTTTGGAGATATTCAGTGATATAAACCTTGAGGAAAGCTGTCTAAGAAGGGCTTCCATTTGTGTGTGTTTTAGTATTATAGAACAAGATTGCCATGGATCCAGATCTGGAAGGGCCTCAGATGCCATCAGGTTTAACACCTTCATTTTGTAGTGGAAAGGTTGGGAGAGCTTGTATGATTTGCCTGAGACCTCACAAATAACATGAGCCAGGCTGTGGACCAGGTCCTCTGGGCTCCACAAATAGAACTCTTCATTGAGATAATACTACTTTTCTATTCATAAATATAATTGATATAAAAAGATTTCTCTGGTGATGTCAGATAAGGGTTATGTGTTATTGAAGTATTGAAGAAAAAAAATTCTGTTTTCTCATTTTGGGCCTTTCCACCAAAATTCATTTAAAAGAATAAGTCTTTTCAATTAAAATATCTTTATTCTCTTGCTTCATTTGTTCTTCAGTTTGCATAGCGATCTCCTTGTCCCCTTTACCCCCTTCTCATTTCTTCTCTTAATTATGTCTTTATGACCTTTTTCTTAAAATATGTCTGCAATTACATAATGTCCAATTAAATAGTATGTGGGTTTTGAGGGACTTTGGGCTATATCTTCTAAGCGCATTCTGTTTCTTGAAACCACAGTATGTCTAGTATTGTGTAGTACTATAACCATTTCCTTTACCAGCATCATTTTAAAAAATTACAAAACTTGTTTTTAAAAAATGCTAAAAAGCCACACAGGGAGGCAGCATAGTCTAATAGAAGGAAAACTGGACTAAAAATAAAGAGCTCTGGGTTCTAGTTCCAATACCTCTTCTAATTGTTACAAGTGAATTAAACCATGGTTTCTTGGCCTGTAAAATGGGATTCTACTTTCATATACTTTCCTTTCAGTCTTTTTGTAGGAGAAATAAAATAGCTCTTTTTTATTTCCTTGGAAGATGAGTGTGTATGAATTCAGACTGTAATAATTTTCATTTAATTCAAGAGCACATCAATTTGCAAATTAATGCATTAATTTGTACAGTGAATTTAAGGGGTTCTAACATATATATATATGTATATATATATATATGTATATATATATATGTATGTATATATATAGACAAGCAAAAAAAAAACAAACCCCAAACCCAAAGCTAATGTATGCATTTTTTCTGTTCATATTCAGAGCTAATAATTAGGTCTCAATACCTGAAATACATTTGAAAACTTGAGGTTTAAAAAATAAGGAAGGAAATAAATCGATGGTGGGAGGAAGAGACTCCTCTACCAATTTTGAAATATTATTTTCCTTTGCTTTTTCTTTTGAGGGGAGAAACAGGGGAGGGTTATGTTCAGAGCAGTGTTTCCTCCATTTACAAAATCATTGGCAGTTCTGGGGACATGATGTTAGGTCAAAGACAGGAGGAAAAATTAGGAATTACTTCCTAGTTTGGGAGACAACTAAGAGGTGATGTTATTACTGTTTATTTTGTTAGCAATTATTCTTTTCAATAAATAACTTTAAAAGTTCATTTCTAATCTTCACTTTTGTAAAATTTAGAAAGGCCCTTTTCAACTTGATTCAATTAGAAGGATGAATGTTTTTCTCTTTTCAGTGTATTATCTTCCCCTTACTCCCTCTCCACCTTAATTCATTTCTTACATGTTTTTCCTTGGTTAAAATATCTTTTTCCTCAGATTCATACAACATAAGATGTCTTCCCATTTCCTTTCTTTCTCAGGTCTGATTGGAAGTCCGTAAACACTGAGACAACTCAATAATGATCTGTTGATCTATAATGTTAGATTTTTAGAAACAAATAAATGGGAACCCTACCTATCCTTTATACCCACAAGAATTTTTATTCTCTTTTCAGTTAAAAACAATTTTGTCTGTATTTAACTCTTTCAGTCAGTTGTTCATACTTTTAGTCAGCCATCGTTCTAAATGCAACTAACTAACTGATTTGCCTTCTTTCTTCCTCATTGACAGTGGGCAACTACTATTTAACCAAATTTTAGTTCAGCACAATCTGACAGTTCCTAAAAATGTAGCACTATAGCATACATCCAAACAGACAGTTCCAAAATCATCTTTGTTTGAAGTTTTTGTAGAGGTAAAACAGATTTTAAGAATATAGATGTTAATTTGATTTTTCATCATTTATTTTAGATTTTTTTCTTTAGTATATATAATATAATATTTAGCTATACTTTTGTAATAAATAGCTAAATATTGTATAGCAAATAGACTGAGTCCAGCTACACCAGACTTAAATCCTGAACTTGTAAAAGACATTTAACTTCAAAGTACCTCAGTTTATTTTCCTGTACAAAGGCAAGTAGAATACTGAGTAGCTGATACCTGAGACAATTAAGAAGTAATGCAGTACAACACTTTTAGGTCATTAGAAGAAATGATAAATCGTAGAATTTTTATTTGGTTTTGTACTCAGCTGCATGTTAAGCCAGTATTTGATACTGCTTATTGATTGTAATACTGATGCATAATACTGATATTAAATTTGCAAGGTTTTTTTAGACTTTAGCTAGAGAAATCAATAGTCCAAACTTCCTGCACCTGGAAAAGTTGGGAATAAGATTCATACCTGAAATGTGGATTAGTGGAATTCAATATATTTTACCTAACATATGCAGCTTATAATACATGTGTTTGCTTTGTTGGATAAATGATGTCTGATTTCCATTACCATGTTATTCACCTGCATCAGGATGAATAAAGTTACATTTTTTATTAAGTAAACTTGAAAACAAGGTAGATATATTATGCACTTGTGTAGAATTTATTGGATAACATTTTTTGGTGATGGGTATTTAAAATCTGCCCTATTACAATCTGAAGAAATGGATTCTCTCTTGTGTGGAGAGCAATACAGTGCTGAAATATTCCTCCTTAATTTTGATCAGAATGAACAAAAGTGTCTGTGTTTATTCCTGCCTAATGCATCACAAATCTGCTGACATGCTAACCTTGGAGTCTTGGCTGGCGTTAATCAGGCCTGTGCACCGGCAGGAAAGATGTACCTAATGCACTCCATCAGTGCAGTTTGCATATGGAAGTTCTCACAGGGGAGCTGCCCTGTGCCAGCTGAGGGTTACCTGCCCACTGCAGTTATTGTATGTAATTATCGAACCAATCTGTTCAGCCCAGCAGGGTTTAGATGGTAATCATGAAGCAACACTTTGGAAAAAGAAAGATGTAAGGCACTCTCCCCTTCTCTCATCAGTTATGTGAAGTTCTAACCACTCTTAAAGCTATTTTAGTAAAGTAATACCTCTGTATACTGAGCTGTTAAATGAATGCCACTTGAAGTTTCTTAAGGCTTAGTCAAGTTGTTATTTTTGCATTTGTCATTTATATCTTTTTGGAACATTATACATACATACATACATACATACATACATACATACATACATACATGCATATATACATACTTACTTCTGTCAGTATTTTAATCTTTCCATAGCTACCTTAAGAATATTTTTGAAACAGTTGGATTAATTGTTATACACCACATAATAACAGTTCTGTCCATTTGGAGGTTTTAAGATAATGTGGCTTGAATAGAGTTCAGCTTTCCCATGTAGTTCTCTTCGGAATAGAACCCATGGTTGCCATTAGGAAAAATAACAATGTGCTGTCAGCAGGTGTTAGACTTTTTTATAGCTGTACAAAAATGGCCTGAAGCAAAAAAAAAAAAGATTCAGATAAAGTTTAACTTAATGTTAATTGCTAGAAAATATAAATGAGGACATTTGTTATACTCTGGGATAGTGAGATTTTGTGTGTATTGAATTATTTTCCAAATGATGTAAATGGACAAGGTTACTATGAAAATTAGGGATAGCATGAGTGTAAAATTTGGAATTTTAGACATTTAAATTTTAAAATTCATGTTGAAAAAAATCCAAACTAAGAAGTTTTTGAAACTTCTTTTATGATTCTTATACCTACATAATTCAAAAGGAGTAAATGTAAGACACTAAATGAACCAAGTAATACAAATGTAGCAGGAGCAGGAATAGAATGAAAACAGAATGTCTACATCAGCTTCTGACTGCGCATCAACTAGAAGAAAGAAGAGAAGATAGAAAAAGATTTAAAGATCAAACCCATTTTGAGAATTTAGGAGCAGGCCTCTGTCTTTGAGTCTAAACAAACAAATATCCTGTGAAGAAAATGTTAAGGATTGTTATTCAAGTTTGGCAGAGTTCTACTGACATAGTCCTTTGTAACAAAAATCTAGAAGTTACCATTTGGAGGCCTATCCCAAGTCTCCCTGACTACGAATGCCTTCCCTCTAATCCCTCTAAGATGGCCTTCCATCTGAGATTACTTTCCTTTGTCTCCAGCACTTGTCACAGTGGCTGACACACCTAGTAAATGCTTTATAAATGATTGTTAGTTGACTAGAATTCCTCCACTAATTTTGTTAGAGCAATGATATTTTGTGATAGATAAAACAAGTAAGTGCATAATGTTTTTGTATAAAAAATGATCTCCTCCAGTTGTGAAATAAGGTTAATAAAAAGAGTTAGCAGTAAAAAAAGAAAAAAGTATCTTATTTTGAAAGAAAAGCACTGTATGTGTTTTCCTATATGACCTGGGACTAATCACATTCTCTTTCTGAGCCTCAGTTTCTAGAACTGTAAAATCAATTTAAAAATATTTTATAGATTATATAACATGTTTATACTCTGTTTTGTGTGGTAGCACAATCTTTTATTCATAGTGAGTACTTAAAATGCTAAATGAATGAATAGTTCTGATGTATAAATGTTAAGATGACTTTTATTATACTAGAGAGATAATGTGGATAAGGGATTAGAAATGTGATTATAATATGCTTTCAATAAGCTACATATACTATTTATATGACTATGATGTGGTAAATTTGTGTATTCATTTATTCGCCTATGTCAGACCAATATCTCTTTCTTTTTATATTAGAAGCGAAAGAAAGAGATAGAAGAAAGTGTGGCATCGAGTGCTGAAGATATGGAAATTTCGTACCAAAATATATTGGAGGGACGTCAAACTCGTAAGTTTAACACAGACTTCCTTTGCTTCTTCCATACTTGACAATTGGTTTTTCTCATCATAGACAAGTGTTGAAAGCATCTATTTATGTGAGAGTATTAAATTTTTTATGCTAAAATTGCTTGCCATGAAAGTAGTTTTCTTAATAAAAACACTAAATATTTATAGCATTTTGTAATTTTCAAAATGCTTTCCCATGCAGTATCTAATTCTAATCCTCACAATAACCATTTGGTTTAGATAGGGTAGGTACTTTTCTCCATTTTACACTTGAAACTAAGTCTTCCTTACCTCTGCTTTACAACATATGAGTTCTATCAGCATATTTGTCATTACTTTGAATTGTTACTTTAAAAACATTAGTCTTATAAGGTATCTCAAAAAGTGTCCTCAGCTATAATTCAAACAAAATTTGTGTAAGACTCTATATGTGTTATTATGGTCAAATTAATGATTTATCCATTCATAGATATTTTGTGGGAAGACATGGTAGATGTTTACTCTTCCTAAAACCTGCCTATACCCTGAACATTATCCCTAACTTTTCATTTACAACCAATCTCTAATTTATTACCTAATCCATTTGCACTTTTAAACAACACTCATATTTGTATTTGAGATATCTCATATGGAAAGTATATTTAGTTAACACCATGGAGGGTAAAGGTAAGGAGAGTTAACATTTCCATTTTACATCCTGTTGCTGTCTTCTATCTTCCCACTGTTCTTCTCCTTCCTTGTCTTGTTTATTTTGCTGTTAGAAAGTGATATGTTCGAAGAATCACTGCATTGAGGCATATCTCAGCCACAGACTAGCAGCAGCAGCTACAACAGTGAGTGGAAGAAGAATTTAGGAGTAGTAGTAAAGAGATGAATATTCATTTTTAAATACCTTAAATTTTGGTATAAGTGACAGTTTTGGCTTAGACCAAGAGTATTATAGTAGAATTGATATTTAAGTTTTGAAATTATTTCATAACTATATAGGAAACTCATGTGGTTGTTCTTAACTATGCTTATATATATGTATATGTGTGTGTGTGTGTATATATATATATATACATATATGAATAATATGTGTGTGTATATATATGCATATATATACACACACATACATCTGTTTTACATACAAAGTAAATTAGGAACATTTTTATTTAATTGAAATTTCACTTGTTAAGCTGGATTTTATATATCTTTTCTTAACTAAAGAAATAGTAAGGGTGTGGGGGAAAGAATAGGAATACATGCTTCTGAAGTGGGGAAGCAATTCAGATATTTGATATTAGAAACTGAAATTGTTTGAAATAACTCTGAGTTGAGTAGTTTTAAACAAATTCTTCCTTATTCAAATCAGCGCTTTGGTTTGTCACATCTAGATGTTCATTTTTCCTTGATAGCTTATCTTTTCTCTGAAATAGTAGACCAGTTAAGATAATCTGTTATCCAAGTGTTCATCAGTCAAATAAACTTCAACGGAGATGGCACAGTGATAGCAGCTACTTGAGAGGAATAGTCTGAGGAAAGGCAATCATTCACCAAGTCAAGAAAACTTTAGATAGAAAAAGAACACACTTCCATTTTGTTTTGCTGTATACATAATAAAATTCAGTTTGTATTTTGAGGCTTTCACATTTAGTGTCACAAAAGTATTTCAAGAGTATAGTTACCTCTATCAGTAGTTCTAGAAACGTCAGTTTCTTCATTAACAATTTTTTTTTCAATCACAGTTTGTAGTTTATAATATGGTAGGAGATTTTGCTCACCATGGGATCTTTTGGAATGCTATACAAGGCAAAATGGGAGCAGTTTTCTTTTAATACCTATTTAGACCATTTAAAAATATGTATTATTTCACTCATATACCTAAACTCATTTTGAATAGTTGGTGGTCCATTGTGTAAGAACATATTCTGAAAGCTTTCAAAATGTGTATTGTTCAGGTTTTCACCAAAGAAAGAGGGGGGTGATTGGGTTTGTTCCCAGAGCACGGTTCTCTAATACTTTTATTTTTATGTGAGACATAATTTTTACCAATTGAGATTTTTTTTGGCTAAAAATACATTCCCCCCAACACAAAATAAACTTTAAAAATCATGTATAGTCTATTCACTGTCAGTGCTATTTTTTTCAGAATTGTAGTAAAAATTGGGTAATAACACTATTATATACATATATGTGTGTGTGTGTGTGTGTATACATGTATGTGCATATGTACATATGTATGTATGCTTTACTCCCTGATATTTTGGAAATTATTTTTAAAAAAAATCTTTAACCTTGGGACCAGAATTAAATAAAAGAGATTAATTGCATTGTATTTTTGATAGAACAAAGACATTTTCAAGAACAAAAAGTAAAAACAAAATATCAACAGATTTCAGCTATTAATATGTGTATTTCATAGTCATGTTGAAGTGTCTTTAACCTTTTTCAAACACTGAGTTTTATGCATTTTCTTAACATTTAGAATACTTTTGTATATTTTATCAGTAATAGTGAATATTAGAAATTATTATATTTTATATAAGAACAAAAATTAAAATAATTTCTTTAGAACTTCATAGAATTATGCTTTTCTGGACCACTTTGCCCACATAACCATTAAAATTGACACTGGGAAAATGTTAGATTTCAATATAGGTACAGTCAGTCTCCAAGGTATATATTTTTACTACCTACTACCTAGTGTTGGTGATGAGACAAGATGTGGCCAGTAATATATTAAATAATAAATAATATATTAAATAAAGGGAGGGATATGTAAAAATAAAGTATCAGTGATTAATCAAATTGAGGCTCATTATACTGTAGGTTACGGATCACATTAAGAATAAAATTATACTTAAGGCACTTGCTTGCTCTAAATAGATGATTTGGAAATTGCTTTTAATCAAAATTTTAAAGAGGAAGTAAAAAAACAGTTTTAAAAATGATCAAAATATCACCTTTGGGTTACATGACCAGGCAGATGACAAATTAGTCATGGTCTCCAAACATCAGTGATATGATAGTAAACATTTAACAACTAGCTCTCTGAAAATACAGGGCACAATTTCATGTTTAATTTACATTATTAATATTTTCTCCACTACTTTCTTTTTTTAGGCAACTGGGGTTAAGTGACTTTGCCCAGAGTCACACAGCTAGGAAGTGTCAAGTATTTGGTCTGAGGCTGGGATTTGAGCTCAGGTCCTCCTGACTTTAGGGTCAGTGCTCTATCCCCTGCGCCACCTAGCTGCCCCCTCCACTACTTTCTTAAGTCTAGACAGTCAACAAAACAATAAATAAAACGGATTTGTAGTGTTTACTGATATCTGGAGTATAAATAATCATGCTGAAAATTTTGTCAGTTGGCTCTCACCAGGAACTACAAGCTGGCTCCAGCACAGCTATGGCAAATATCTTCACACATCACCCCTCAATGAATTTTGTGGTAGAAATTACAACAATACATATCCACAGAAGAAAGAATCCCTGATAGGGCAAAATCCTATATGAATTCCTAATTTACTAATAGAGTGTTTACTCGGCGCCTCTCACTCACCAACTTCTTCTCTATCTGTTCATAGCAGGAACACAAGCAAACTTGTTCAGAGCTCAGCTCTAGAACAGGATCTCTTTTGCTAAATGACTCTGCTTGTACTCTGCAAGAAGTGACAGTTAAGTGGAGCAGGAAGCAGAAGGGATGCCAGCATAAATGGTTGGATCAGGCCTGAAAGAAAGGGTCCTAAAACCTAGCTGGGGCTTGACCATGCTTCCCCAGAGGTTGCTTAAGGAAGGGATCCAGGCCACCAAACCTTTTAAGTCCCCCAATGAGAGGAACCTAGGGCATACTTATACCTTAACCTTGGAGTCTACTCACCAGCAAAGGCATGAAGCCTGAAAGGGAATGTTTTATAAATGGCTGAAATATTAAAACTATCAAAAGTAAGTGCCTCAGAAACCCAGCAGATAAGCAAATAAATCAGCAAAAGAGATCCTAAAACCAGAAGGAAGAATGAGTAAACTTCAAAGAATTCATAGCTCTCCTTCCAAATAGTATCATATAAAGGAAAGTAAACCAATGATGCTTGGATTCCCAAGAGGGCATGAAACAGGAAACTCCAGAATCATTCAAAAAAGAAGTAAAATACAGAAGGAATTAGGAATGAATATAACTCAGAAATTAGAACTGTCAATGCAGAATTATTTTAATGGATGGATTAGAAACAATTTGAATATATGAAGGAGAATCTCAAAAGAAGTGAAAGAGAAATGAGCAGATTTGGAACACAAAAATACCAAAGTGGAGAAAAATCTGGCAAAATTATTATTATAGAATTATTATGACAGATTTGAAAGACTGACCTAAGAAATCATTAAAGGATAAAACAGGGAAATGAGGAAAAGACTTATTGGAACACAAGGAATCTGGTAGAAGAGGTGAACTGAAGCACCATGTTTTAAGTCCCTTGACCTTCCTACAGGTGAATTTTTATCTTTTGCAGAGTAGAGTTGCAAATTGGGGGGTTGCATAAATGGAGAGAGGGGAGGTGGGAGACAGAGGGTAACAAGTGATGCCAAATCCATAGAGGAATAGTGAACTAAAGGTAATTCCAGTAGTCTCCAAGCAAGTAGGGCTGTGGCTAAGACAGGAGGGATTGATACAGGGGTCTAGAAGAGAGGGAGGGGTCTTATCCCAATGAGGGAGACAGTGATGATATTGTAGAAAAGTACTCACATGGGAGAGGAGATATGTATTTGAAATGGAAGATGGGGACCTCATAATGACAGTAATCTGAAGGAGTTTGTGCATTGGGAGGTCACACCTTGGGACAACTACTACCCAGAATAAGAGGGGAAACATAGAAGTGAAGGTAGAAACACTTCCTTTGAAAAGGAGTTTGGTCATAGTGGGCATGGAGTAGGACTTGGCTATAAGACTGGGGACACATAGCAGTTTTTGCAACAGCACTATTTCTGATGTTGCTACCCTCACAAATTGATATTTCTTTTTTTTTA